CTGCCTCTGCTTGACCTCTGCTAGTAGGAAGATTATTCGTCTAATTAGGTAAAGAGCCTTCATACACATGTACATATTTTAACCCTAATGAGCTGTCAGCGGCAAGGTTTGCCCTTGGCCTGGTTGGCCAGCCGATCTTTCCTTCCCTTGGTGGAAAAGGCCAGTGCAGTAAACAGAACGTTGTTTCCATGGAAGCTCACTCTCGGGTTTTTTTCTTTCGGGCACTTGAAAAGGTGATTACTTGATTTCTCTCTGTATTTTTGGGTTTCATACGGTAGGGCTGTCAAGCTCCTCGATTGAGGATGGCCGTCTCTCTTATACCAGGCTGTTTGAGGGAACTTTGGCTGCATTTCCTTTTCCATCCCCCACCTTGGGATCATTAGCTGTTGGGCAGCCGTGTCTGCCTTCCGGTCACTCTCCTAATTAAAATCTAACAGAGCAAAGGGATTTGACCCCAGAGAACATTGGCGGCCCTGGGAAGCCAGGGAAATTTGTCAAGAGGTGGGAGCCCCTGAACCCTTCCTTTCCACGGTGCAGACTATCAGAGCAAATCCCTATATCCACACCACAGAGGGACACTGTCCCGTCTGGTACCTTCTTGTCTGAATCTTTGACGCCCCACTGTGGCCCATGTCAGAAATACAGCCACCGTAGGCTTCTTTAATAACAAACAGCAGCCACCGTTTCCTGAAGATTCGTTCAGGAAACTGCATGCCGGGCACTGGGCTAAGCACTTTATATCCACTGTCTCAGTGAATCCTTACGACAACCTTAGGTAGATTTATTACACTGATTATTCAGCTGAAAAGGCCTGAAGCACAGAGAGGTTGAGTCACTTGCTTAAGGTCACACAGCTCCTGAGGGGCAGAGCCAGGATAAGGACACATCCATTGCTCTCATTTCTTCAAGAGGGCCCTGGCACTGCTATAGCCTCCCTGGCAGAAATCAGCCAGTCGTGACAGCGGACGAAGGGTAGAGATTTCTCTGCCCCACAGTGGTGGCTCAGTGTGGTAAACTATCCCATGTATACAAGGAACAGAAATGAGGCCGCCAAGGTAGTTAATTGTCAGAACCAATTAGGAAACCAAACAAGGCACTTAAGAAGGAAATCAACATAAGGCAGAGCAAAAGAGCTTCAGTTTGAGGCAAGACCGACTCCGTTTCTAATGGATCCTACCACTTGACCCGCTGTGTGAACTACAGCAAGTTCCTGAACCTTACTGAGATTCAGTTTCCTCATCTGTAACAGGGGGTAATAGTGGTACCAATCTCCTAAAGCTCTTTCACAAACTGCACCGTGGAATACTTTTCAATCAAATAATTGAGTAAAAGACAAATTGCATGCAGTTCAATAGGCTTATTTATTCTAGAATTGCTCAGAATCTCTTTTTTTCTTAGTTTATTTTTGAGAGAGAATGAGTGGGGGGGGGGGGGGGCGCGGGGGAGGGCAGAGAGAGAGGAAGAGAGAGAGAGAATCCCAAGCTCTGTCAGCACAGAGCCCGACACAGGGATCAAACTCATGAACGGTGAGATCACGACCTGAGCCAGAATGAAGAGTCAGACGCTTACCTGGACACTTAGCCAACTGAGCCACTCAGGCGCCCCTAGAATTGCTCAGAATCTTAATCATATGGTTTCAGGAGGGAGCAGCACTTCCTGACCCCAGACTCCTTCTCCTGGAAGAATGCATATTAATATCTATTTCTTGAGACTCTTGAGAAAACACTGAAATATAGGTTATAGGATACCAGGGCTTGACTTAGGCATCAGTAAGTGCTAGTCTTCTCTCTTTTGTGCCCAAAATGTTCAAATAACCTTGTCTGTCCTTGCTAGATTTAAGCTCCATGGAGGCACCAACTAAGTCTGCCTTGTTCCTTTCTGTATTCCACTGTTGGCATATCAAGACATTCCATAAAAATCTGATAAATGAATGAGTAAATGAAAGAACCCGTGAATTAATGAATGAAGCCTAGAGTAGACCTAGCCGGCTTGTCTTCGTTGATGACATTCTCTGCTGTCTCTAGTTAACGTTTGATGAGGGCCAGATGTCCCTGCAAAATTTAGTAATAGGGACGGCTCTATAGGATGTGTTTTCTCTTTTTCATTTCTTTCTCTGTGAACACCGTATCTTCTGAAAGCATTCCCAACTTTATCCTCTAACCAAATCATTTTGCTGCTTCTCAGTGAAGAAGGCAGACGTTTGGTCTGCCTGTGTATTTGAACAAAACATTTCTGAATGTTCCCAGTGGATTTGTACCTGGAGCCGAAGAAGTGTTGGGTTCCCAATGGAGTAGAATAAAAGCAGCTCCTTAGAGCTTAAAAACAACATGGAAGATACTGTGTTTCCCATGTGCACCTATTGGAAAGTTGTAATGGATGGGCTCCTGGACAGCACGTAACTGCTTTCGTGTGGTTCTCTTCATATGTATGTGGAACAGGTTTTCCAGTTCATTCTCTGGGCACTGTACTGTGCAAAAAACAAACATTTCAGTGTCAATTTAAAAATATTTAAGTTGGTCACAGTCTAGCAGATTTCCCTACTGCAGAACTTCTCAGAGATTTTGCGCATTTTGACGTACCGTTTGCCAAATTCAACTGACCGTTCTTCTGGAGGCCTTCTGGAACCCTTATTAAACTCTATTTGATAGATTGTTGTTCAGCAGAACACTTTTAGAATAGATGGCCAGGGGTGCCTGGGTGGCTCAGTCGGTTGGGCATCCGACTTTGGCTCAGGTCATGATCTCACAGTTCGTACGTTCAAGCCCCGCGTAGGGCTCTCTGCTGACAGCTCAGAGCCTGGAGACTGCTTTGGATTCTGTGTTTCCCTCTCTCTCTGCTCCTCCCCCGGTCATGCTCTGTCTCTCTCTCCTTCAAAGATAAGTAAAAACATTTTTAAAAAACCCCCCTTTTTTTAATAAATAATAAAAAAAAAGAATAGATGGCCAAAAGTTGTCATCCAGTCTTTATGATCTAGGAAATAGTCCTGCTCCTCAAAACTGTGGAAAGGAGAAGGTAAGGCAACTCATGAATTGAATAAGGTGATAAAAATGCATAAAACTAGATGGATTTTATGTGTTTTATAAAACAACCAAAAAAGACTATGCACAATGCTTCAAAAGTATGACCATAACTTTTTTAGTGCTCTTGTTTACATCATATTAAAAATAACTTATTTTCTATGCCATTTTGTACCATAGATGAGATTCTTTCTTTCTTTTTTTTTTAAGCATGGATCTGGGTTTTTATTTTAAAATTTCTAAATAAAAATAGCTTTTAAAGGAAAGGGACTTAGGGGCGCCTGGGTGGCTCAGTCAGTTAAGCATCTGACTTCAGCTCAGGTCATGATCTTACAGTTCGTGAGTTCGAGCCCTGCATCCAGCTCTGTGCTGACAGCCCAGAGCCTAGAGCCTGCTTCGGATTCTGTGTCTTCTCCCTTGCTCTGCCCCTCCCTGCTCGTTCTCTTTCTCTCTCTCTCTCTCTCTCAAAAATAAATACACATTAAAAATTCTTTTTCTAATAAAGCTAAGGGACTTAGAAAATTCAGATACTTCTTAAGCTACTTTTTTTTGTGAGTTAATATGTACTATAAAGAGGAATAAATCCTATTTGAATGTCACTGTTCCCTCTTTATTACACTTTTCTGTGAATAAAATTAGTCATAAATCACCGAACAAAACAGACTCAATTACAGTTTGAAGGATAATTGTAGGCTTACCTGGAAATAAGTAGAGAACCTTAATTTTTTGGTGCCCATGCCCCCCCCCCCCCGATAACCCTCAGTTCTCTATAGTTAAGGGTCCATTTCCTAGTTTGCCTCTTTTTACTTTTTTTCCCTTTGCTCATTTGTTTGGTTTCTTACATTCCGCATATGACTGAAATTACATGGTATTTGTCTTTCTCTAACTGACTTATTTTGGTTAGCATACTACATCTCCCAGTTCCATCTAGTTGCTAATGTCAAGGTTTCATTTTTTATGGCTTAGTAATATTCCTGTGTGTGTGTGTGTGTGTGTGTGTGTGTGTGTGTGTGTGTGTTTCAATGAAAGAAGATGTTTGTTGAATGACAGAAACGTAATTCGTAGAGCAAAGATCAACAACTATGGCCTACCACCTACGGTTGCACATAAAGTTTTATTGGAAGACAGAAATGCTCATTTATGGATTGACGATGTCTGTTTTCACATTTGTTTCGAAGACCTGAGTCATTGCAACAGAGATCTTATGACTCTCAAAGCCTAAAGGATTAACTATATGGCCCTTTACAGAAATGTTTACCAACCTCTTTCATAGATTCACAGACAGATGTGGTAAGAATGGCAATTATGTAACCAACCCCTTCATTCTATAGGTGGGAAAACCAGAGAAGTTAGGGAGTTGCTCAAGTTTATTTCTGCTTAGTTATGCTGAATCTTATGTCCTAAAACCTCCAACTCCAGGGAAGACTAGGATAGATTTCAACTTAGATGTCAACACCGACTCCGTGATAGTGGCCATCTGGAGTACTAGCTGAGGAAGTCTCAGGGCTCAAAAGAAGGAACGCAATGATTGATTAATCTCCCACGGTCTGGGGGTGGGACAGCTGTGGGATATATGCCATGGAGGCGCTACATATAGGCACTATGTCTGCTCCACACATTTCTAATAGTTATTTTACTGTCTCCTTCTTTGTATGTCTGTCATGTAAACACTTTCTTCATTGGACCAAAACAGAGGTGCTATTGGGCCCTCATTGGAAGCACTCCTGCCCAGCAGTTCTCAAGTGACTCTTGTGCAAACTCATTCTCGTGTCTTTCCTAGCAACTGTCTACCACGTGATGCTCTGCCTGCAAGGATTTCATTTAAGACTTCACTCAAATTGGATTTGTTTGTTACAGAATTCTTAACTTTTAGTGAAATGTGTCTACGGGGACAGAGATTGGGGCGTGTAAAATGCAAAGTCACAAGTTTATTGGCTTTTGCGATCTAAACTGAACATCTCCCATGTTTGTGCTTTTGTGCAGCTGGACAATCCAGATGAGCAAGCAGCCCAGATCAGACGAGAGCTGGATGGACGTCTCCAAATGGCAGACCAAATAGCCAGGGTAAGGAAGCTTTGGGGACATTTGCTGGGGGATCAGGCCAAAGTTCCACACAGGAAGCACACTGATTATTATTAAGGTCCATGGAAAGATAAAAGTGAGAAGCAGAGAGGAAGGAAGATGAGGACAGTCACTTGACTGAGCCCTCATTCCTCCTTTCTCAGGGCAATTCTCCCAGATAGCTTGTATGTTTTCTATGTTCCAGTCAATATTCAAGCCCTACCTTCCCTTTTCCACCTTTCCTTTGCCTTTTGCCTTATGTTTCCAACTGTCTATTGAGAACATTTCTTCTTGGATGGTCCCCTGCATTCCAAGTTAAATGCGATCAAAATCTAGCTCCTTTTCTTCTTCTTCTTCCCACTGTGTACGCATACCTGCAATGGCTCCTCGTCACGTGTTCTCTATCAGTTACTACAGATGGGACTTCCTAGGTGTTGTCAGTTCCTCCTTCCTCCCCATAACCCCCCACACACAGTCAGCTGCCCAGCTCATTGATTCTGCCTCCAAAATGTGGGTCAGATCTCTTGACTGCTTTCCAGCACCTCGGCTAGTGCTTTGATTCAGGCCCTCATCCTCACGCCCAGATCTCACGATAGTCTCCTCGTGGGTATCCCTGGCTCTACTCCTGCCCTCTCCAGTCTGTCCTCCACACGGTTGCCATTCTCAACCTCACGCATGAACATCTCACAAACAGAGCCTTGGAATCCTTCAGTAGAATCCTTCACTGCCCCCAGAACAAAATCTAATCTCTTCAGAATGATATTCCAGGCTCTTCATCGAGAGCCTTAGATCCTTTCTTGTTAGACTCACCTCCCACAACTTTCCCATCAGAACCCCCCATTTCAGCTACAGAGACTGTCTCCCTCGGAGTGGTCCAGCAGGCCCTTTCTCGCCTCAATGACTGTGCACCCACCAGAGTGACCTTTCTTTTCTTCTCCTTTTAGCAAACCCTCTTACTCAGCCTTTGGTGCTCAACTTAAAACCCCTTCTCTGAGAGCTTAGCTAGTTCTCCTCTCTCCCAGAGAGAGGCCTCACACCACATTTAGACCTTTATTGTAACAGTTCACTGAATGGTGACTATTTTCTTTACATTTCTGAGTCTCCTGGTAGACAGGGTTTCTCTAGAGTTGGGATTATGTCTTAACTGTTGATGTCTGTGAACCTGAAAGTTATCCACTATTATCGCTGTTGCTGTCATTTGTGTTATTAGCGACAGTAGTAATGTTAGTAGAATTCATTGAGTGCTGACTGTTTCAAGCATACTAAATGCTTTACATGTACATCTCATTTAACCCTTAAAACAGCCCCTAAGTATATTTCAGTTATCATTTTTGTTTTAGAGGTGGGGAAATCAAGACTGAGCAGGATAGGTACTGGTTAAGGCACTACCCTGGAGCCTTAATTCAAGTCTGTCTAAATACGAGGGCTGGGACAAGGGTGAGCCTGGTACTCACGTAAGGTACAAAATTTAAACGTGGGAGGCCACAAGTGCAGTAAGCATGGTAAATACCATTTTAATGAAATATTTTTAAAGCATAGTTAATGCAAAAACCCATGAAGAGTAAAATATCAAAATTTTAAACAATGGTATCCTACTTGTTCCTATGGTAACCACAGGACATATGTCTCTGTGAGGGTAGGAGGCTGTGGGGATGGTTAGGAGGATGCCAATTAGTAGAGCCTGGCTTTTACCCTTTTTGTCTATGGAAAGAAGTGTCTAGGGGCACCTGGTTGGCTCGGTCAGTTAAGCATCCAACTTTGGCTCAGGTCATGATCTCACCATTCACGAGTTTGGGCCCCGCATTGGGCTCTGTGCTGACAGCTCAGAGCCTGGAGCCTGCTTCGGATTCTGTGTCTTGCTCTCTCTCTCTGCCCCTCCCACCCCCCGTACTCTGTCTCTCTCAAAAATGAAAACAAAATATTAAGAAAAATGTCTAAGGACTTGGACACATGGAAAGGACTTCTACTGGAAGAGAAACCAAAATGAGATTCCAAAAAGCTCAAAAATCCCCGTTTGGGCTTAAGCAGCTTTATTGAAATATTTTGCATTTTGTTTTTGGACATCTTCAAAGTTTATAGTAGCGTCAGTCTGTCAGATAAAAATAAGATGCAGTTATGGATTTGCCGAAAGGTAGCGTAAAAGGCTCTTATGTTGGAAAACCCTGCCTAATGAGAGAAAAAACATCAATAAAGCTTCAGAATTTACTTTTGTAAACTCAGTGTCTCCTCAGCAGATTATGCTGAATATAGAGGTCATTTGGTCCATTCTTAGCCCATTACATACCAAACTACTAAGTCTTCATCTCATTTGAAGAAAATTACACACACACACACACACACACACACACACACACACACACACCAAAAACAAGGCCATGGCACCTTTATTTTAGTTGTTTATTTTGAGGCTTCACGTGATAATTTAAGAACCTAGTGTAGGCTAATTTCAGTTTTTAAAAGACCATGAACAACTGTTATCTAGTGAGCCAAATTCCTCATCTATGAACAACAGTAGGTCCGAGAACTCTCTCCCCAGTCCATACTACTAGATATTCTGATCCCAAGTAGGGTATTATTGACAACTTAGAACTAGACTTTCTTAGACAATGAAATAGGCAATTAAAGTAAATCTATCTTGGTCATTATTTATAGAGAATGGAGAATAATTTCAAAGTATATGGAGTATCCCCCAAACATTTAGGGTATTGAGGATTTCTATGAGTTAGTCTGCCCACCAATATCTCCTGTTCTTGTAGAAATGGACTGGCTTCTTCTTCATCGTTTATTCATGCCAATGGTCTCCTTGCCACAACGAATTAGTCCTGGAAATGCATTCTTTACTCACATGGAACCAATCACAGTTCCCAGCCTGCCATGACCATATTCTGGTTGGTCCAGCAATGGATACCTGATGCAACTAAACCAATGAACTACTTCCCTAGGGACTGTGGGCTGTGGGCCAATAGGGCTGGGTCTTCTTATGCTAGAAAGATGTCTACAGCCATGTTCAATTCTTCCATTAGGGAAAAGAAGATGAAAGAATGAAGTCAACATACGGAGAGAGACGGAGGCAGGGAATATACTGAGATTCCCAGGATGTTCAAGTCCTTGGTTACACTTATTCTTGGGCCTCAGCTGTGTAACTGCTTTTCCCTCGGTTTAGTTGGGTTCCAAGAAATATAAATTCTCTTTTTGCCTAAACTAGGCTGGCTAATACGGAGGAAAATTGAACAATATCTGCCAAAAATTAAAACAAAATATCGAGATTTTAGATATTGACTAGTTCGTGAAGGGATATTCCAGCAAAGCACCCCTGCTTATCTTTTTTTTTTTTTTTTTAGCATACCCTGATTTTTCTATTTCTGGCATCACAGTGAATTTTAGTGAGAGTGTGCAATTCAACCCATATGGCTGAACATCAGCTCCTGTAAATATCATAACCAGAAATTCCTGGATAGGGGACAGGCAAGATGGTGGCGTAGGAAGATCCTGAGCTCACCTCCTCCCACAGACACAACAAATCTACAACTGTATATGGAATTGTCCCCTCTGAAGAGAGCCTAGAAATTGGATGAGCAGAGCCCCCACAACAAGGGACAGCACTAACACAGGTAGAAGGGGCAGAGATACAGTCTCACTAAGGAAGAAACCACTCCCTAGGTGTGGCATGTCACTCAAATCAGAAGACTCTCAGCCATGTAGAAAGTATCACTGAGGAACAAGAGATTTGAGCTCCACATCAGGAACCCCAACCCGTAGATGGGCCCCCAAAACACCAGGCTTTGAAAACCAACAGGGAATTCACTCAGGAAAACTATAGAACTGTAGAGAAAGCGAAACTGCTATTAAAGGGCTTACATACAGACTCACTCAACCCAGCAACCAGTACAAAATGCATGATATCGATAAGCACGTAGACCACAGGTGAAGGAGACCCACTTGTTAATCCTGGAACATCAGACAGTGATTCAGGAGACATCTAAGCCTCTCCCTGGGGACGGAGACACTGGCTGCAGCCAATTTTCCTGTTTCGTTCTGCTGTGCTAATCCTGGTGCTGGTAGGCAGCAATTTGGAATCCTCCCTCCAGACTGCTATGTCAGGGATGTGCCCCACTGAGAGCCCCGTACAACCCTGCACCTCAGCAGGACTTCACAGCCAAAAGGACAATAATTCCACCCACCAACATATCTGCAGCCCTCGAGCCAGGCTTTACAGACAGCTAGGCCGACAGCCAGTACTTCAGATCAGATGCACAACAGTGGGTTGTCGCCCAGTCACAGCAGGAGAGTATAGACTTACCCCCACCCCCAGGGCACCTATCTCAAGTGACTAGGGGCGTTTGCATTGGGCTCCATATGACACATTCTGCATAAAGCCGCTCTTTCAAGACTGGGAAGCAGAACTGATCTAAGAGATAGAAATAAACAGAGAATTGAGCATAATGAGGAGACAGAAGAATACGTTCCAACTGAAAGAATAAGACAAAACCTCAGAAAAAGAACTAGATGAAATGGACATAAGCAATCTACCAGATAAAGAGTTCAAAGTAATGGTCATACAGATGCTCACCCAACTTAGGAGAAGAATGGATGCACATTGCCAGAACTTCAACAAAGAGATAGAAAATATAAAAAAGAATCCATCAGAGCTGCAGAATATAATGACTGAAATGAAAAATACACCAAAGGGACTTAGCAGCAGATAAGATGATGCAGAGGGATGGATCAGCGACCTGGACGATAGGGTAGTGCAAATCACCCAATCAGAACAGCAAAAAGGAAAAAGAATTTGAAGAACATTAATAATTTCAGGGACCTCCAAGACAACATCAAGTGTACTAACATTCATATTATGGGATCTCAGAAGGAAAAGAGAGAAAGAAAGGGACATAAAACCTATCTGAAGAAACAATGGCTGAAAACTTCCCTATCCGACAAAGGAAACAGGCATCCAGGTCCAGAAATCAGAGAGAGTCCCAAAGAAGATGAACCCAAAGAGACAC